GGAGAGGGGGGGGGGAGATGGGGGGGGGGGGGGGGGGAGATGCGGGTCAAAATGCAGCCATGCAGCGAATAGTGTGGAATCGACCCGTACGACGGGGGACGGGGGGACGGAAGAGGGACGGCGGCACAGCTGCTTGTGGGGAATCGGTCTCTGTCTCTCAACCCAGCCTACCCCGCAGAGTTGTTGTGCGGATAGAATGTTGGGGAAGAACCATGAATTGGAACCTGAGCTTGGAGGAAGGGAGGGATAAATGAGCTCCCGGGGTGAGGGGAAGAGCTGACCTCCACTCATCCGTATCCCTGAAGAGGCGGGAGGCGGGACTGCATCTCCGTGGGTTTGGTTCCTTTTGCACATCCAGAGAGATGCCTAGAGCGGCGCTGGCATGCTCCCCCTTCCCCATCCCCTCTCCTTCCTTGTGCGCATGCAGGGAGGAGGGGGTTCCTTGGGCTTGTTCCACAAGCAAACTGGTCCTGCCCCACCCACCTGATGGGCAGCCATCTCTGCTGGCCACACCTCCTGGTGGCACTTTGCACTCCCCCCCCCAGCCAATGGCATAATTCCCTGGCAAGGCAAATCTTTATTTACTTCCTCCATTTGTCTCCCACTCTGATACCCCGCGGCCCTTCACTACCAGAAGGAGTCTCAGAGAGACTTACATCGCAACCTCCTTTCCCTTCCCCTCCCCACAGCAGACACCCTGTGAGGTCTGTGGGGCTGAGAGAGCTCTTTCAAGGACTGCTTCTGAGAGAACAGCTCTGAGAGAGCCATGAGTGACCCAGGGTCACCCCAGCAGCTGCATGTGGAGGAGGAGTGGGGAATCAAACCCCTTTCTCCCAGATTAGAGTCCGCGCTCCTAACCATGACACCAAACTGGCTCTCAGTGCTCCTCAATGCCCCCTCAACTAGCTTACAACATAATTCTCTTCTCCTCCATTTTATCTTTACAACAACATCCCTGTGAGGTAGGCTAGGACGAGAGAGAATGGCTGATTCAAGCTTCCAGGGCAGAGTGCGGATTCGAACCTGGGTCTCCCTGATTCTAGCCTGACTCTCTAACCACTACTCCATGCTGTCTTTCTGTAGGGCCACCCTCCACAGCAGTGCCCACGTGATTGGCACAGGTGCCCGTGGGCAGGTGAGAGAGTAAAAAAATGTTGCGGGCTTCTCCCTGGAAGCTGGGTGGCGGGGCTGCCTGGTTTTTCCTCTGTCACCTCCTCACGGGTGATCCAAACGGGCACCCCTCCCTCCTTGGAGCTCTTGGTGGTTTCTGGAGGGAGGGTCCTTTGCCACCCCAGCTGAGTCAGGGCTGCGAGTTAAAGCTCTTCCTCCTGCCCTAATCCCTCGGCTGTCTTGTGTTTCTGGAGAAACAATGAGTGCTATTCAGAGGTCACCTGCTGCAGACAAAAAGAATTAAATCGGGGAATTCACCACCACACCGGTGGGTGCAGCGATGGCCACAGGCGGCTTTAAAAGCGGATTAGACACATTCCTGGAGGAGAGAGAGATTGTCAATGGCTACTGGCCATGGAGACTGAGAGGAGCCTCCATGTTCAGAGGCAGCCAACCTCTGAATCCCAGTGCTGGGAGGCAACCTCTGGGGAAGGCCTTCGTCCCCTGTTGTTCGCCCTCCAGGGCAACTGGTCGGTTGCTGTGCGGAAGAAGTTGCCGGACTAGATGGACCCTGGGTCTGATCCAGCAGGACTCTTCTCGTGCTCTTGTTAAATACCGGGTTCTGGACGCATTGCAGTGATCAGCTCTAGTTTATTTAGTGATTTCAGGAACACAACAAGGGCCCCCAGTAGGGCTTGAGCCCTGCTTATAAAGCATGCAAACACCCCCCACACCCCCCACACACACTCCCAAGGATAGGCCGTTTACATTTACACTGCTTATCTGTTGGTCAATCCCAGGATCCTGCTCAGCTATTGTTCTTGGGGAGCAAGCTCACCCAGTTCAAGGTCCACCTTCAGGGATTGCTCAGGCTCGATACATAACAGCTCTGGTGCTTTTTCTGGGCCCTTTGCCCCACGGTGGGGGCCTCTTCTGCCTGACAAAGATGTCTTCCTTCAGTGGGCAGGTCGTCTGACTCCTGGCCAGGCCCTGCTCAAGACCTGCTCCCCCAAAACCATTTGAACCCGACTCCTTGTGGAGCCCACCCCATCTAAGCCAAATTGACAGTACTGGACAATTAGCCAGAGGAAAGGGTGCTCCCCAGAGCATGACCTGGCCATGAAAACGATCGGATCAGCCACAGGCCAGCCGGTCTCCCGGTGCAGGGTCTGAATACAGAGCTCCTGGGTTTTTAGGTACACTAGAAGAGGGGCTGCTTCACAACAGCCTGCAGCAAGAGTAGAAGCTGGCTTCCAGGAGCACCCTGGCCCTGTGTTTTGTGCTGCCCGTTCTCACAACAGGCAGTGTGTTTTTGTAGAGCCTGCTGACCGAACACTGCCTGCAGCGGGGCGATCTGGCCGGTTGTGGGATGCCCGCATCCAACACCCGACACGGCATTCAGAAGGGAGTGCAAAGAGGGGAATGAAAGAGGTCTTGTTGGAGCTGGGGATGTAAACCAAGCCACCGGGACTTCTCTTCCCCCTAAATGGTATCCTCCAAATGCGTGCTTTTGCAGGAAGAGGCATTTGGGGCCAGTGGGCCTGGGGATCAGCTGGGGTGGGCTGTCTGGAATAGAGAAGAGCTGGGCCAGGAAGGGAGGTGGGCCTTTTGGTATCGTGGTTAAGTGCGCGGACTGTAAGCTGGGAGAGCCGGGTTTGATTCCCCTCTCCTCCACTTGCCCCTGGCTGGATGACCTTGGGCAAGCCACAGTTCTGACAAAAGCTGTTCTCTCAAGGACAGTTCTGGAAAGGGATCTCTCAACCCCACCTGCCTCACAGGGTGCCTGTTGTGGGGTGGGGAAGGGAAAGGAGTTTATAAGCCACTCTGAGACACCTTTGGGTAGTGAAGGGCCATGGGGTATACATCCAATCTCTTCTTCTTCTTCTTCTTCTGACCCGCAGTGATTCTTTGTGCCCGTCTGGAGAAGGAGCTTTTCCTTGGGGAAGTGGAGGGTCAGGTTCACTCTGAGTCAGGTTCAGACTGAGGCCCGTTCTGCATCTAGCATTCGCTCCGCTGTTTCACCAAACCCAGGTTGGAACAGAAATTCCCCTCTACATTGCATGCCACTCACTTTCTTTGATTGTCAGATTGGTTTCACTTCCTTTGATCTCCCTCTTGAAGCCGTCCGTGCTTGTAGCCCCCGCCACCTCCTGTGGCAGGGAATTCCACGTGTTAATCACTCTTTGGGTGAAGAAGGACTTCCTTTTATCCATTCTAACCCGACTGCTCAGCAATTTCATGGAGTGCCCACGAGTCTGCATAGATTTATGGCCGTTTTATGGCCATTCAAGGGTGACTGTGCAGTCAGTACAGTGTCCCCCCCCCCGGGGTATCTGAATGCGGTTTCGAGCCGCATCTTTTCCCGTTCCAGTGTGGGTTTGGTAAAACAATGGAGCAAATGCTAGATGCAGAATGGGCCTGAGTTTTGGCCTGAGGGGTTCCCACCTGGATCCCCCGCTACTCGGAAGGCTTAGTGGCCCCCCATCCTCAGCCCTCTTGCTACAGGTGGAACCTACTCCCAGATCTTCTGTGTTGGGGGGGGGGGGGCAGGTTTCAGGGAGTGCTCGTGGGGCCTGGCCTGGGGAGGCAGCTTCTCTCCTGCTCCTTGAGTCCCCTAGAGGTCTCTCTCTGTGTGTGTGTCTCTCTCCACCCTCACAGGTGTGCAGACGATGGAGTCGCGCCACTTGGTCCCCGGAGACCTGCTGGTCCTGGAAGGCGGCAGGCTGATGCTGCCCTGTGATGCCATCCTGGTCAGCGGCGTGTGCATTGTGAACGAGGGCATGCTGACGGGTAAGGAGCCCAGTCCAGTCTGGCAGGATCACCCAGGGGGCTGACACTGGCTGCCGGTGCCTCTGGCTTCCTTGCGGTTCACTGCCCGTGAGCCACCAGCCCCGGGAGGCGATGGACACACACTGGCCCCTGGTCTCTCCTGACCACCAGCAGCAGCAGCTCCCTGAAGTCTCCGAGAGAGAAGGATCTTCTCCCCCAGGATCTGCTACTGGAGATTCCTTTAACAGGGATGCAGGGATCCAACGGGGATCTTCTGCTGGCCAAGCCCAAAGGAAAGTTATGGTGGAAAGAAAGGACAGGCCCGAGGTGGCCGGAGGTATTTGGAGGTGGTGTCGGCAGATACAGCTGGATCCTGCTTGGTGGGGCTGCGGTCACTCGGCCTGGGAGGGCCTCGTAATGGTTGGGGGTCTGAGAAGCAAAGGTGGGGCCGGGGAAGCTGCAGGACTCACCGGGTTCCCCAAGGGTGCAAGGCCAGGCTGGGCCAGGGGGGTGCCCCCTATCTATGACCAGGACAGACCCCATGGAATAGCTGGTCCCTGGATCTTGTCCCTGCCTAGGGTCATAGAATCATATTTGCAAGACTAGATCTAATGGGTGGAAATCACAAGGGAGTCGTTACCAGCTAAACATCAGGAGAAACCTCCTAATTGTAAGAGTGGTTGAGCAGTGGAACAGTCTGCCTCGGGAGGTGATGGAGGCTCCTTCGCTGGACGTTTTCAAGCGGAGGAGGCTGGACGGCCATCTTTTGGGTATGTTGCAGGGCTCTCTTTTGGCTATGCGCCTGAAGAGTGCAGGGGGTTGGACTTGGTGACCTGCAAGGTCCCTTCCAATCCTAACATTCTGTGATTCTATTATTAAAGCCCAGCCCTGACAGCTGCCTCACCGACTGACCCAGGTTCTGGCCCCAGGTTTTGCGGAGCTAGGCTGTCTCTCTTTGGCTCCCTGCTCCTTGGTGGAGAGACATTTGGGAATGCGGCTGAAGGCCCGGAGGGAGGGGGTAGCCCCACATGCAGTGGAGGCCCTCCTCCTCCAACCCTGGAGCCCCCTGGGCCTCCAACCCTGGCACCCACGACCTGCCTGACTTCAACAGTACCTCTGAAATGAAGTTGGAACATGATAGGAACGTGATGGCTACAAAAACATCAAATGCATCACTATAGGTTGGGGGAGACTTGTCTTGGCAGTAGGGTGTGCGAAAAGGATCTAGGGGTCTTAGTAGACCATACACTGAACGTGAGTCAGCACTGTGATGCGGTAGCTAAAAAGGCAAATGAGATGTTGGGCTACAGCAACAGTAGTTTCCAGATCACGTGAAGTGATGGTACCACTTTGCTCTGCTTTGGTTAGACCTCACCTAGAGTACTATGTTGCGTTTGGGGCACCACAGTTTAAGAAGGATACAGGCAAGCTGGAACGTGTCCAGAGGAGGGCAACGAAGATGGTGAGGGGGGTCTGGAGACCAAGTTCTAGGAGGAATCATTGAAGGAGTTGGGTATGTTTAGCCTGGAGAGGACTGAGAGACAATATGATAACTATCTTCAAGGACCTGAAGGGCTGTCATCTAGAGGATGGTGTGGAGTTGTTTTCTGTTGCCCCAGAAGGTCGGACCGGAACGAACGGGTCGAAACGAAATCAGAAGAGTTTTCGACGAAACATTAGGAAGAACTTCCTGACAGATCGGTTCCTTAGTGGAACAGGCTTCGTCGGGAGGAGGCGGGCTCTCTTTCTTCTTTGGAGGTTTTCAGACAGAGGCTAGATGGCCCCATCTGACAGCAATGCGGATTCTGTGAACTTGGGCAGATGATGAGAAGGGAGGGCAGGAAGGGTTGCATCAGTGCTTAGTTCTTGTGGTCCTTTCTTCCACGTCCAGGGAAATGCCGATCGTCAGTTTGGCTGGAGATCCTGGAGGTTTTTTGCCATCTTCTGGGCATGGAGCAGGGGTCGGTGGGGTGGAGGGATTTATGAATTTCCTGCATGGTGCAAGGGGTTGGACTAGATGACCCTGGAGGTCCCTTCCAACTCTGTGAGTCTATTATCCTGTGACCAGCCAACGGCAGCTGTGGAACGGCCCACTGGTTTCTACTGTTATCCCAGGGAAGGAAAGGTGGTAGAAGTTTGGCTAGGTGACCCCACCGGTCTGATTTCTGGGCACAAGACAATAGTAACATGAACTTCCCCTTGTTCAGCAGAAGCAGGAAAAGCACATGCAAAAGCAAGGCGTGACTCCAATGAGCGTCACTGATTCAGGCCACGGGAGCCAGTGTCCCGCGGATCAGCCCCCAGATCTGCCCCTTTCAGCCCACTTTGGTCTCCTCCAGGGGAAAGCATTCCGGTCACCAAGACCCACCTGCCCCGAGACGACAGCCAGCAGCCCTGGCAAACGAGCTGCGAGGACGACTACCGGAGGCACGTCCTCTTCTGCGGCACCCAGGTCATCCAGGCCAAGGGAGAGGGCAAGGAGCCCGCCAAGGCGGTGGTGCTGAGCACCGGTGAGTGTCTCTGGGTTGACAGATGCGCCCCTTGCAGAGGGAAGCAAACGTCCAGTTGTGCAAGCCCCGCCTGCAGCCTCTGCCTCCAGAGCTTGTTCTGAGGGGATGCCTGCAGGAGCGGCCTCCACGGCCCTCGGGCTGCCACACCACACCACACCACACCACACCACACCACGCACGGGGCCCATGAGGGTGGGGCACACAATCCGGCCAGCATCCACTGGCTTGCTGGGGGTGAGCAGCTGGAGGGCTGGCAATGCATCCATGGTCTGCGTGTGTGGGGGGGAGTGGTTCTGTAGCCAAGATCTCAGGGAACCAAGAGAGGAAACTAAGGGGGGTGGGGGGGTCACAGGGTAGAGGTTTATACAATTAGGCACAGGGTGGAGAGGGTTGGCAAAGAGGAATTTTTCTCCCGCTCCCAAAATACTAGAACGCGAGGGCATCCAATGAAGCAGTAGGGTCAGGGTGGGCAAAAGGAAATACTCCTTGACACAGAGAGTGATTCAGATGTGGAATTCGCTGCCAGAGGATGTAGTGGTGGCCACGGAATAAGCAGCTTTCAAAGGGGATTAGATGGATTCATGGAGGATAAGTCATACCAACGGCTACCAGCCATGGTGACTGAAGGGAATCTCCACAGTCAGAGGCACTAATGCTCTGAATCCCAGAGCCACGAGGCCACATCAGGGGAAGGCCTCGGCCTCTGTGCCCTGTTGTTGGCCCTCTAGAGGAACTGGTTGGCTGCTGTGTGAGACGGGATGCTGGACTAGATGGACCCTCCCTGGTCTGATCCAGCTGGGCTCTTTGGATGTTCTTATGAAGGCCTCGACCTCCGTGTCCTGTTGTTGGCCCTCTAGAGGAACTGGTTGGCTGCTGTGTGAGACGGGATGCTGGACTAGATGGACCCTCCCTGGTCTGATCCAGCTGGGCTCTTTGGATGTTCTTATGAAGGCCTCGACCTCCGTGTCCTGTTGTTGGCCCTCTAGAGGAACTGGTTGGCTGCTGTGTGAGACGGGATGCTGGACTAGATGGACCCTCCCTGGTCTGATCCAGCTGGGCTCTTTGGATGTTCTTATGAAGGCCTCGACCTCCGTGTCCTGTTGTTGGCCCTCTAGAGGAACTGGTTGGCTGCTGTGTGAGACGGGATGCTGGACTAGATGGACCCTCCCTGGTCTGATCCAGCTGGGCTCTTTGGATGTTCTTATGAAGGCCTCGACCTCCGTGTCCTGTTGTTGGCCCTCTAGAGGAACTGGTTGGCCGCTGTGTGAGACGGGATGTTTGACTAGGTGGACCTCACTGGTTTGATCCAGCTGGGCTCTTTGGATGTTCTTATGAAGGCCTCGACCTCCGTGTCCTGTTGTTGGCCTGCCAGAGGAACTGGTTGGCCCCTGTGTGAGACAGGAGGCTGGACTAGATGGACCCTCACTGGTCTGACCCAGCAGGGTTCTTCGGATGTTCTTATGAAGGCCTCGACCTCCATGTCCTGTTGTTGGCCCTCCAGAGGAACTGGTTGGCCCCTGTTTGAGACAGGATGCTGGAGTAGATGGACCCTTACTGGTCTGATCCAGCAGGGCTCTTCTGATGTTCTTATCAGGGGAAGGCCTCAGCCTCTGTGCGCTGTTGTTGGCCCTCCAAAGGAACTGGTTGGCTGCTGTGTGAGACGGGATGCTGGACTAGATGGACCCTCCCTGGTCTGATCCAGCTGGGCTCCTCTGATGTTCTTCTCAGGGGAAGGCCTCAGCCTCTGTGCCCTGTTGTTGGCCCTCCAGAGGGACTGGTTGGCCCCTGTGTGAGACAGGAGGCTGGACTGGATGGACCCTCCCTGGTCTGATCCAGCAGGGCTCTTCCTGTGTCTTTGTATTCCTTGGCGCCTGAGGTCTGGAACTTGGAACTACCCCGGGGCCTGGCTTGGAACTACCCCTGGGTGACCCTGCCAGAAGAGGGAACCAAGACCCACATGATCATTGGATGGAGATCAGGAACTGTTAACCCCCTCATAACCGTTGTTTCATTGTGGCGGTTGCATTGTGGCATCGGGGAGCTTCTCCACGGCAGTTTGTTTTTCTTAAGCAGCCTGCCCCGGAGTGTGGATTACAGTGTCTGTATCTGCAGAGAGAGAGAGAGAGAGAGGGATTTTTAGGAAGGCTTCCAGAAGGGTAAAGGGAAGACTCGGAGTGCCGAGGTGGGGAAATTCCTGGAGATTTTGTGGGTGGAGCCTGGGGAGGGCGGGGTTTGAGGGACAGGAGGGACCCTGGTAGGGTACTGTGTCACAGAGTCCACCTTCCAAAGCAGCCTTTTTCTCCAGGGGAGCTGATCTCTGTCACCTGGAGGTCAGTTGTAATAACTCCCCCTCCGCTCGTCAACTCTTATGGCAGCTGCTTGATGATGACTTTGCGAGCCGTGTGCTGCTGCGGCGGCCCCTAACTATATGCCGGCGGAAGAGCTCCGTCTTGCAGGCTCGGCGGAACTGCGAAAGGTCCCACAGGGCCCTGATCTCCTCCGGGAGCTCGTTCCACCAGGTAGGGTCCGCCACCGAAAAGGCCCCGGCCCTAGTAGCAGCTAGCCTGGCGTCCCTTGGGCCAGGGAGGGTCAGCCGGTTTTGAGACCCAGACCGTAGTGCTCTCTGGGGTATATACAGGGAAAGGCGGTGCCGTAGGTATGTTGGACCCCAGCCATTAAGGGCTTTAAAGGTAAGAACCAGCACCTTGAAGTGGACTCGGTATGCTATTGGCAGCCAGTGCAGTGTCCTTAGCACAGGCTGGATGTGCTCCCATCTAAGGAGACCCATCAAAAGCCTGGCCGCAGCATTCTGCACTAGCTGCAGCTTTTGAATCTGCGACAAAGGCAGCCCCATGTAGAGAGCGTTACAGTAGTCTAGTCTCAAGGTGACCATTGCGTGGATCACTGTAGCCAGGTCAGTGCGGTTGAGGAAGGGAACCAACTGCCTAACCAGCCTGAGATGATAAAAGGCCAACTTGGCAGTGGTGGCTACCTGGGCCTCCATGGAAATACCAGTGCCATCAGGAGGTCCACCAGTGGGGCCAGGACATTAGAAGCCATCCCACTGTTGAAGCCCCCAAGGACCAAGATGACAGAGCATCACTTGCCCCAGAGTCCCTATCTATACCTTGTGGCTAATAGCCACAGATGGACCTCTGCTCCAGATGTTTATCTTATTCCCTCTTGAAGCCGCCCAGGCTCGTAACTGCCACCCCCTCCTGTGGCAGTGAATTCCATGTGCTAATCACTCTTTGGGTGAAGATGGACTTCCTTTTATCCATTCTAACCTGACCGCTCAGCAATTCCATGGAGTGCCCACGAGTTCTTGTATTGTGAGAAAGGGAGAAAAGTACCTCTTTCTCGACCTGCTCTATCCCATGCATAATCTTATCAACCTCAATCATGTCACCCCTCAGCCGTCATTTCTCCAAGCTGAAGAGCCCCAAGCGCTTTAACCTTTCTTCATAGGGAAAGTGTTCCAGCCCTTTGATCATTCTACTTGACCTTTTCTGCACTTTTTCCAATGGTATAATATCCTTGTTGAGGTGTGGTGACCAGAACTGTACACAGTACAGTAGGAAGCTTTGGAGGTCATTAATTCGTAGGGTCACATCGGGTGACCAGAAATCAGAAGCCGCTCGAGGGCGTGGTGGGCGCAGAGTCCCGTCCTCCTGTCTCTCAGGGACTGGCTCTGAAAGCGGCTGCTTGTCTTCCCCGCTTGCTCACACCTTGCGGGTTTGCTTTGCCTTCCCAGGTTTCAACACCGCGAAAGGGGACCTGGTGAGATCAATCCTGTACCCCAAACCCATGAGTTTCCGGCTCTACAGGGATGCCATCCGGTTCCTCATGTTCCTGGTTGGAACTGCTGGGATCGGGATGGTGTACACCGTGTGCGTCTTTGTGCTCAATGGGGTAAGTTGTGGGGTGGGGTGAGGGGACAGGGAGCACCTGAGGGGCTGGTGTAGAAATTTTATTTATTTTATTTATTTATATTTGAATTTATATCCTGCCCTCCCCTGAAGGCTCAGGGTGGCTAACAAGGGCACCATGTGCCGAGGTTAAAACAGTAAACACATAGTTTAAAAACAATAAATTACAATAAAATACAATATTTACAAACAGATTTAGACAAGAGGGGTAGATCTTAACTTCCAAACTACTTCCTAAAATCTTATCATCTAAGCCGTGCCCAGGCGCCTCGCTCCCCCCTTGGAGGGCCAGGCAATCATGCTGTTAATACGCCAGAGCATAGGGGCAAAGGTGGAATAGTGGTGGCGGCGGCTCCTACTCGAAGGCCTGGCGGAAGAGCTCTGTCTTGCAGGCCCTGCGGAACTGAGAGAGGTCCCGCAGGGCCCGGATCTCTTCCGGGAGCTCCTTCTTCTAGCGCTTGAGCTGAATCAATATTCTGTGTAACTATGATGAGCCATATTTCAGGATTTACATCTCAAACATCACCAGGTTTCAAGTTCAGTTTGGAGTCTGTCCCGTATGCCTTGTTTTTGGGAAGCCCTGCCCACGTCCACTCCCCCCCCCGAAGAGTCCATAAGGACTGGCCATTAAATTTTCCCAAATCCTTTCTCCCTTTTTTGCTACCATAGTTCCCCCCCACACAACCAGTTCCCTGTGTTTCTGTCGGGGTTCCCAGTCAATCACACACAACACCAGGTCTCAACACAAGATTCAGTTTATTGAGAGAGAGAGAGAGTACTTGAGACACCATGGGCTCTCGTGTCAGGAATGGCGGGAGAAGCGCGGGGTACCTGGGATATACCCCCTTCAAAGGAGACCCCCTGATACTACAAAGCCAATAAGCAAGCACGCATAAGCGCGGGCAAACACCCAGGGCTGGCTCACCCACTAGGCGAACTAGGCATTCGCCTAGAGTGCTGGGCCCTGGATGGGGCACCGAGCTGTGCCTCCCCCCCCCCGCCCCCAAAAGCCCGCGAGGAGCTCTCTGAGTGTCAGCACTTCGCTAATTGGGGAGAGGCATCCGGTGAGCATCCCCCGCCTGGAGACAGGATCCCCCCCACCTCCCTCCCAAACTGCCTTCGGAAGCGGAGCATGAGAGAAATCTCTCTTCCATCTTGGAGGGCACTGCAGGAACAAGTGGGGCGTGCTCGCTGGGTCTGACAGCTGCAGCGGGGGAGGCGGTGGCGGCGGTAGCAAAAGGGTGGCTGGCTCCAGAGGTGTTCAGGCCCCACCGGGAGGTTGGCATCTGCACCAGAAGGCAGCCTCGCCTAGGGCGCAGAAACACCTTGAGCCGTCCCTGCAAACACCCAGCCATTAGATTCCCAACGGGGAGCCAGGGGAAGAAGCACCTCTAGCTCCAAGGACATCTGCAAGATAAGCGCAAGCACGGAGCAAGGAGTGGGGAGGGTGGGCAAGCCCATCCCTCGGGCAGAACATTCCAACCCATGGCAGCATCAGCTGACAATTTCTTTCCAGGAATTCTCTTGACCCTAGATCCAGGTGACCCTGAAATAATGCATGCATGACTCTTGGGGAGTGGTCTTGGGTGCCCTCTACTTGTGGGCTGGGCTGCCCGCCCAGGGGTACCACAGTGGGTGCTTCATTGTGTTAAAATTAGCAAAATGGAACGTCCTGGAACAGAGAGCTGATGCTTTGAATTTGGGCGCAGCCACCGTCCAGCGTGGTGTGGGGCAGGCTAACTCTACTGGACACACCCCCCCCCGTGGCAGGCTTCTGTGCACCGAGTTCTGTGCTGGACCTCCTCTCAGTCTGGGGGTCTCCAGGCCCTCCTTTGATAAAGACAGAAAGTTTCTAGAATTGGTGAGGCTGGGAGAGGAGGGGGAATAACATCTAAGGAAAAGGGAAAAGCCAGAGGTTTAGAGCAAGATTGAAATATATGCAGTGCTTCCTTAAACTTTGGGCACATCCCCCTCACCAGTGTTCCCTCTAAGCTGAGTTAGTGTGAGCTAGCTCCCAGTATTTTAGCCTCTGGCTCACGATTTTCACCTTAGCTCAGGAAGGATGTGGCTCCAGAGCAAACTCATTGATGCAGTAGCCAAATCGCTCGTCGCTCCCAGCTTTCATGCCAGCAGTTCACGAAGTAGATTGAGGTTTATAAGATTATGCATGGGATAATTGGTGCTTGGTGCTTGGGGGGGGGTCAACAGTGGGGGGGGGCTCCTAGTGTCCTGGCCCCACTGCTGGACCTCCTGATGGCACCTGGTATTTCTGGCCACTAGTGTTGGACTGGATGGGCCTTTGGCCTGATCCAGCATTGGCGTCTCTTATGTTCTTAGTATTTTTGCTCACAGGAGTCCACAGCTTAGAGGGAGCAGGTCCCCCACCCTTCTGTGCATGGGATGAGATCAGGGTGGCCTGGCTCCAGGTGGGGCCTGGAGATCTCCCAGGATTTCAGCTGGTCTCCAGGCGACAGAGTCCAGTCCCCCTGGAGAAAAGGGCTGCTTTGGAGGGCGAACTCTGTGGCACTGGAGCTGGCTGAGGCCCCTCCCCCCCAGGCTTCCTGGCAGTCAGGAAGGGCATGCAAGGCAGGGGGGGAGGGGGCTTGTTCCCAGAGCGGCTGTCCTCACAGAGGCAGCCAGGAGGGACAGAGGGGAAAGCAGGGCCTGGTGGAGGCGGGGAGCTGTTTGTGGAGGGCGCAGCTGTTTTCTGGCAGAAGGGCTCCTCTGGCTCCCTGGCACTTGCTTTAGTAGGGTTGGCAGCTCCGCGTTGGGCCAGTTAGGGGTGCCAGGTCTCCCCCAGTCACTGGTGGGGGATGGAGGAGGAGGAGGAGGAGATTGGATTCATACCCCATGGCCCTTCCCTACCGGAAAGTGTCCCAGAGCGGCTTGCAAACTCCTTCCCCTCCCCACAACAGACACCCTGTGAGGGAGACAGGGCTGAGAGAGCTCTTGACAGAAGCTGCTCTTTTTCAAGAACAGCTCTTGTCAGAACTATGGCTTGCCCAAGGTCATCCAGCCAGGTGCAAGCGGAGGAGTGGGGAATCCAACCCAGTTCTCCCAGATTAGAGTCCGCGCACTTAACCACAACACCAAACTGAAGAAAAATAAGAAGAGATTGGATTTATACCCCGCCCTTCACTACCCAAAGGTGTATCAGAGCGGCTGACAAACTCCTCTCCCTTCCCCTCCCCACAACAGACACCCTGTGAGGCGGGTGGGGCTGAGAGAGCTCTTGACAGAAACGGCTCTTTTTCAAGGACAGCTCTTATCAGAACTACGGCTTGCCCAAGGTCATCCAGCCAGGTGTGAGTGGAGGAGGAGTGGGGAATCAAACCTGGTTAATAAGAACATAAGAACATAAGAGACGCCAATGTTGGATCAGGCCAAAGGCCCATCCAGTCCAACACTCTGTGTCACACAGTGGCCAGAAATACCAGGTGCCCTCAGGAGGTCCAGCAGTGGGGCCAAGACACTAGAAGCCCCTCCCACTGTAGCCCCCCCACCCCAAGCACCAAGAAGACAGAGCATCCCTTGCCCCAGAGCCCCTATCTATACCTTGTGGCTAATAGCCACTGATGGACCTCTGCTCCATATGCGCATCTAATTCCCTTTTGAAGCCGTCCATGCTGGTCCTCCCAGATTAGAGTCCGCCTGCACTTAACCACGACACCAAACTGGCTCTGGATTGGGGGGGGGGGGTTAGGGTTACCATACCCAGGTTGGGAGACCCCTGAGGATTTAGAGGTGGAGCCTGGGGAGGACAGGGGGACCAATTGCCATGGAGTCCACCCTCCAGAGCACCCACTCTCTCCAGGGGAACTGTTCTCTGTAGTCTGACCTGTAATTCCAGGGGGTCTCCAGGTCCCACCTGGAGATCTCCCAGAAAGACAACTGATCTCCTGACTGCAGAGGCCCGAGTGCCCCTGGAGAAAAGGGCTGCTTTGGAGAGCGGGCTCTGTGGCATTGTAGCCCTGTTGAGGCCCCTCCCTTCCCCGAACCCCGCCCTCCCCAGGCTCCACCCCTTCTCGTCTCCAGGAATCTCCCAGCCTGGGCTTGGCAACCCTGGGCCCAGAAGCAGCCTTGGGACACCAGCGGCCCTCTCGGGGTCAGCTGCAGGCCAGGTTCTGCACCACCATCCCCCCCCCGCCCTGGCCTGTCCTTTGAGCCACTGGTTCTGCTGAGCTTCCGGATGACCCGGTCTCTCCGCCTTGAGCCAGGAAGCGGCCGGCGAGGTGGTGAAGAAGGCCCTGGACGTGATCACCATCGCCGTCCCTCCCGCCCTCCCCGCTGCCCTGACCACCGGGATCATCTACACGCAGAGGCGGCTGAAGAAGAAAGGGATCTTCTGCATCAGCCCCCAGAGGATCAATATGTGTGGCCAGCTGAACCTCGTCTGCTTCGACAAGGTGCGTGTCCTCACTTGCGCCTGCGTGCACCGGGGAGCCAGACGGGGGGAGGAAATACAGCCGGAGGAAATAAGGGTGGCGGCCTCCGTCAGGCCTTCTCCAGCCACTGGCTCATCGGTTGTGATGCCACGGAATGCTCACAAATACCTGACCTGCTGAGCGGCGGGGAAGAAGCAGGTTCCTCCTTTTGGGACGAGTGGGGGGACCGTGGGCGCATGCGTGCACGTACTTCATCTGTGTTTGAAGGAGGCTGCTGGCGTCCGCATCCCCTGGGGTGGGGCAGCTGCTGGGGCCCAGGGGTTCTGGCGGGGACAGAGACTGGTGCCTCCTCTTGGGCTGCAGGCGGGCACGGAGGGTGGCACACAAGGAGTTTCTGGGGCCAGGGAGGCTGCAGGGATCTGGGTCAGAGATCTTGTGTCCCAAGGACAGCCCCAGCCGTCTGCTCTCCTCAGGTTGGGAGAGGTTTCTGTTCCCACACCCCAAACCCTGGCAGGCCGGTCAGCTGGGCAGATCCTTCCCTCTGGCCGTAGGTAGATCCTCTGGCCCATTCCTTCGCAGCGCGATTCTGAATCTGACATGTACATTTCCACAGACTGGTACACTCACTGAGGATGGCCTGGATCTCTGGGAACTTGTCCTGACCGATGGACAGAGGTAGCTCTCTCTCTCTCTCTCTCCCCCCCCCCTCTCATACCATCTGACTCTTTTGGTTTCTAGCCCTCCCCATCCCTAGGACTCGGGGTGGTGGTGGATTATCTCAGAAGAGTGAAGAAGCAGCCTTATATTAAACAAGCCCATGGCTCTGTCTCATGCAAAATCTGCAAGGCCTTTGAGTGGGATCTCTCTTAGTTCTGTTACCCACGGAAGCACCCATAACAAGTCATTTGCCATTCAGATAGCGCCAGCGGGTAAAGACATGTTTGTTTTGTTTTGTTTTGTCTGGCATACCTCCAGTAACGGCTACCGTCCCTCCTCCCCGCTTCTGGCATTTCTTGTTTATGTGTTTTAATATAATTATTTTCTAATTTTCGGGGTTGTTTTTAATTGTTGAAAGTGTCTGTGTTTTTGTGTGGGCCGCCTCGAGGAACCCGATTTGGAGGTGGGAAAGCAGCACGGATACGTTTTTAATGAATGAAACCTAAAACGGTCAACTGCCACCCCAAACCAGCCCCACCGGTTCTGCCATGCTTCTGAAACGGGCTCCGGGCAGCCTTAGCCTGCAGGGTTTTGTCTGCTGAGCCCTTTTGCCGGGCCGCTGGCGTAACCTGGTGGGCTCAGCCGGCACAGGCTTCTCCCTGCCACGGTCCCTCCCCCTTTCTGCGCCTTCACCCCCTCGTCTGCTTGGAAAGCGTGTGACGTGCCCCCCCTCCCGTCTCTCTCCTCCGGCCCCAGCTTCCAGAGTGTCTGCAGCTTCTCCCCGGGGAGCTCGGTGCCCTGGGGCCCGGCCTGTGCGGCCATGGTCACCTGCCACTCCTTGGTGCTGCTGGAGGGGAAGATGCAGGGAGATCCGCTGGACCTGAAGATGTTTGAGGCGACTCACTGGGTAAGTCTCTGCCTTGGCCCCCTAAGCAGGTCCGGGGGCAGTGCGTTCCGAGCGGGGAGGGGTGGGACCCCTGCCCCCTTGCTGCCTTTCCCCCTCCCTTCTGTCCCGCTGTGACTTCCTCTCTGGGTCTTCTCTCGTGCTTCTTGGTCAGGTTGCGCACGTTGCTTACGATGGCTCTTTCCAGCCTACCTGGGCGACGTGAAAGGTATCCCACAGGGGAGCCATCTGTCTTGGCCTGGATGGCCCCATCTTGGAAGCGAGGCAGGGGCGGCCCTGGTTAGTCCTTGGGAGGGAGACCTGCCCAGGAAGCCCAGGGCTGTGAGGCAGAGGGAGGCAAGGGCAAGTCGCTCTTCCCTTGAGAACCCTGCGGGGTCATCAGAAGTCAGCAGTCGGCTGTGACTCAACAGCTAAAAAATAAACCCCCAAATGGGACCCATCTAACTTGGCAGGCGAGGGTTGGATGCTCGCAGAACAGTTTTTAATCCGCGCGCCAGGAGCTGTGGCCAAGTCATTGGGGGGGGGGGTCTTCGTGACCCATGTTGAATCTTCACTGGGGTCCAGTAGGCTCCCATTAGGCCTGGGTGGTGTCCAGCCCATCGTTTCTCCCGGGTCTCATGCTCGCTGAGAAGCCGCCGCACCTCTCCATCCATAAGTCTGTCGGTCTGCCTGTTCTGAATCTCCTGCGTTTTGGGACCCCCACTGAGCAAACCAAGGTGCACCTGCCGCCTGGGAGATGGTGGCTTATTTGCAGTTAGACTTCAAGGCCGGAGCCCCTTGTCATCCGTAGGTACCCAGCTCCCCCCCCCAGGTAGTTTTCACATCCGTGAGACCCAGTTCTCCCTGAACCTCTGAACTGCTTTTCTATACAGTATTTTTTTATTTTTATAAAAGACAAACATATCACGAACAAACATATATACATAAATGGGGGTTGGTTACCGTCACATCATTCAATTGTCTGCTAGGTATCTCATACAATATTTAGTTATATATTTCCTATGTTCCACCTTGTATTTTTATATACATCCTTTGTATATAATTAAAAGTACAGTTTTTGTTCCTTTAGTTTTTGTTCCTCCAGTTTGGTGTCATGGTTAAGTGCGCGGACTCTAATCTGGGAGAACCGGGTTTGGTTCCACACTCCTCCACTTGCAGCTGCTGGATGAACTTGGGTCAGTCACATGTTCTCTCAGAGCTGTTCTTGAAAAAGAGCAGTTTCTGTCAAGAGCTCTCTCAGCCCCACCCACCTCACAGGGTGTCTGTCTGTTGTGGGGAGGGGAAGGGAGAGGAGTTTGTAAGCCCCTCTGAGACACCTTCGGGTAGTGAAGGGCGGGGTATAAATCCGATCTCCTCCTCTTCTTCTTCTTCTAGGTTGGTTGTATGTCAGTATATTTTATTTACTGTAGTCTTCAATCTGCTTTTCAATTCCTTGTGAATCTTTTGTAAGCTGTGTGTGAACTGACATTCTTATAGAGTGCACAACCCCGGTGGGATAAAAGAGCTCTAAACCCCCCCCCTTTCAAACCAACAGGAAATAACAGAGGATTCCAAGGACAGGGAGGGCCACGCGGGAGAACTGGGGCATGCCGTAGTCGTCAAACCGGGACCCAAAGCCGGCCAGGTAAGTGGAGCTCCCTGCCCTTCATCCCCGACAGTCAAAGGACGGGGAGGTCCCATGGCCCCAGCTTGGGGAGGGGGGGGTCTTTTCTAAACTGGGCCGTAGCCTGACCAGACCTCAGCCTTGGTGTTTAGGAGGTCTAGACCTCCACCGGCCCCGGAGGGATCATCTCCACGTGCTCTGAGACCGGGGTCAGGGTCGGGGGGGGGGCCAGGAAGGTAGGACAGGAGGGGTAGTCATGGGGGGGTGGGGGGGTTTCTTCTCCCGGTGAGCTTTCCTCCTTCACTTCGTCCCAGAGAGTGTCCCACTGGCTCTCGCCTTCTGAAAGGGCTACTTCTCCCTCTTTCCATCTGTCATGGACCTTTCATATGAGGGACTGAGGGAGCCCCCGCGGAAAGACGGGGCCAGGAGGCTGGCGTGTGGGCCGCCCTCGCTGGTTTGCCCCCCTTGCCCGGAGCCCCTGACTCTCCTTGCAGCCTCTCCCTCTGGCCTTTCTTGGTGTCGTGGTTGAGTGCGCGGACTCTAATCTGGGAGACCCGGGTTTGATTCCCCACTCCTCCTCCACTTGCACCTGGCTGGATGGCCTTTGGCAAGCCGTAGTTCTGACAAGAGCTGTTCTTGAAAAAAGAGCAGTTTCTGTCAAGGGCTCTCTCAGCCCCGCCTACCTCATAGGGTGTCTGTTGTGGGAAGGGGAAGGGAAAAGGAGTTTGTAAGCCGCTCTGAGACTCTGAGTGAAGACTCTGAGTCCAATCTCCTTCTCCTCCTCCTCCTCTCCTCCACTTCTCCTTCTCCTCCTCCTCTCCTTCTCCTTCTTCTCCTTCTCTTCCTCCACATCCTCCTCCTCTTGTCCTTCTCATTCTCCTCCTCTTCTCCTCCTCCTCCTTCTCTTCCTCCTCCTCCTCTTCTTCTCCTTGTTTCTCAACCTTCTTTTCTTCTTCTCCTTGTTTCTCCTCTTCCTCTTCTTCCTCCTCTTCTCCTCCTCCTCCTTCTCCTCTTCTACTTATTCTCCTCCTCTTCTACTTCTCTTCCTCCTCCTCCACATCCTCCTCCTCTTGTCCTTCTTGTTCTCCTCCTCTTCTCTTACTCTTCTCCTCCTCCTCTTCTCCTTGTTTCTCCTCCTCGTCTCCTTCTCCTCCTCCTCTTCTTTTCCTCCTCCTCCTCCTCTTTTACTTCTCCTCCTTCTCCTCCTCCTCCTCCCCTTCTCCTCCTCCTCCTCCTCCTTCTCCTCCTCCTCCCCTCCTCCTCCTCCTCCTCCTATTCTTCTCCTCCTCTTCTCCTTCTCTTCTCCTCCTCTTCTCCTTCTCCTCCTCTTCTCCTTCTCCTCCTCCTCCTCCTCCTTCTCCTCCTCCTCCTCCTTCTCCCCCCCCCGCAGGTCCCCTCGGGAGGCCTGGCCATCCTGCGCCAGTTCCCCTTCTCTTCGGCCCTGCAGAGGATGTCTGTTGTCGTGCAGGAGCTCGATGGGGACCACCACGTCTTCATGAAGGGGGCTCCGGAGAGAGTGGCCGGCTTCTGCCACCCAGAATCAGGTCAGCCTCCGCCCTGCTCGTTCTCCGGGCTGTTGTGTGGAACCTTCCAGGAGCTCTGAGGGGAGGGGCCCTCTGGGCTGACGGATCGCCTTGGCTCCTGAGCCTTGGCTCCTGCCGGCCGGCGAGCATTGCCCAGCTGGGCTCCTGCAGCAAGCAGGGAGAATGGCAGCGGGCACAGTTTGGTGTAGTGGTTAGGAGCGCGGACTCTAATCTGGGAGAACCGGGTTTGATTCCCCACTCCTCCTCCACATGCAGCTGCTGGTGTGACCTCGGGTCAGTCACAAGTTCTTTCGGAGCTGTTCTCTCAGGAGCAGTCCTCGAAAGAGCTCTCTCAGCCCTGCCTGCCTCCCAGGGTGTCTGGTGTGGGGAGGGGAAGGGGAAGGAGTTTGTCAGCTGCTCTGAGACTCCGAGTGGAGGGCAAGGGGTATAAAGCCAATCTCTCCTCCTCTTCTTCTCCCTTTGCATCTTTGGCTGCCCTCTGCACCTCACGCCAGGGCTGTGCTGAGTGGGGAGGGAGCCCAGGAGCCCGGGAAGGGCCCCGGCTCCGTCCCACGGGTGTGTGTGGCTACCCAGGTGCCACTGGAAGGGCAGGCTGCCTCTCACCACTGCAAAGGAGGCCGAATCAAGTGCTGTTTGGGGAGTTCCGCAGCTCCCAAACCATCCTCAGGAGGGCATCCTCTGCTCACCGGTCTCCCTCGGTCCCTGGGAGTATAATGAATGCCAAGCAAAGCTGTTCCAAACTGGCAATGGCCCGGAAGGAGCCGGGCCGTTTTTGCCCAGGCGTTGCAGATGGGCCCTGAGCCCCGGCCTTTCTCTCCCCCCCACAGTGCCCCCCGACTTCGCCAGCCAGCTCCAGCTCTACACGCGTCGAGGCTTCCGAGTCATCGGGCT